ATTCTGAGGAAAAAAGTGAGAATTCTGAAATTAAAGTCTGAATTTGTTTGTTTGTTTGTTTGTTTGTTTGTTTGTTTGTTTGTTTGTTTCTGCAGAATAACTACCATTTGCTATTCATCACAGTTTTTGTCATTTTAAAAAATACTTGTTGACATTATGCTGCCTCGTTGTTACAGAAGTCTATGTGTCATCTATTCCAGGAGTGCACTGTACTATGGTTCTATATTATAACTACCATACATAACACTGTGTTGGAAAAAAATATTTTAAAAACAAATTTTCTGTGAAATTTGATATTTCTACAGTTTACAGCAAGATGTTCAGTTCCTGGTGTGTTATTCTTTCTTTTCTTGGGCCCTGCACACGTATACACATGGTCCATGTTGATCCACAATCAACACATAGCAGTGGTGCACATCTCCAACCACGTCCAATCCAGTGGTACAGTATCAAACAATAATTGATACAGCCTTTTCAGGAAGGTCACACCTGCCAAAGTCCCCTACTGACTCTGCTCAACAACAAGCAAGCGTCAATTTACAATGATTGAACAAGCAAGTTTGTCAGACAAATAGGGTTTTTTTATTGCCTGATTTGAGGCTAAAAACAAACTGCAATTTTTTACAACTCACACTGAGATGACCTCCAAGGAGACACAAAACAGCCAACACTCTTGCCCGAAGCTTTAGAATAGAGGCAACTTTGAGTTCTAAAATTACCTCAGCTCGTGTGTTGTCTTGTGTCCCATATTAAAAAAAAAACAGCAGAATCATATAAACAGAAGACTTGTTGAGACTCAGTGATCACCCAGGAGCTCTGTGTCCATTTTGTGCAAGCAGGCAAATCTTTATTGCGCGTGAAAAATAATTAAAAAGATGAGTTAAAAATCTAGGAAAATAACAAACATAAAAAGCCAAAATATAAATATAAAAAAAAACAAGAACAAATTTAACTGTGAAATGCACCTGTCACCCTTGGGCCAAAACAACCCACAAAGGCAACTAGTGAACCTCAAAAAGCTTTGTGCTTTGGCTTTCTGTGATTTCCTGTGATAATCATGCAAACACAGATAAAATATACACCATATAATGTTAGACTTACTGTCAACACCAACACAAATGTTCTGCAATACAGTATATGACATCATTTCCTCAATACTCAAATCTTTCAGTTAGTTTTCTATTATCTTTGTACCAACTGTTTAAAATAGAAATTGTACCAAGTGATATTAAAATAAATTAAAAAACACACTTACCATTCAAATAGATGAACAAGAATGGACTCGTAGCTTCTCACAAATGACCAAAAAAGAATGAACTCAAATCAGAAGAGAAACTCTGCACAGATGCACTCTTCTATATGAATGACAGGAGCTCACTTTAGATTAAACTAACTTCATTATTCTCACTAAGATGTTCTTTAGACAAAGCTGAACTTTTGCATCCCATTTGCATCATTGAGGAAGTCACAACAGCACTATACTTTCGTTGAGCCAGTTGTTGCACGAACGTTCCAAGAGATGCAAATTCTCAGATTAAGATCTAGTTCTCTATACAATTGGTACTGTAGTTGTATTAAAAGCATCATCTTTTTTTCCAGGTCTGTGCTCAATCCCATCACCATCATTTCTTTCCAATGGGAGCAATGATTGTCACCCACATGGCTTTATTTATAAATTACAGTCCGCTAGCAAAAAAAATTTAAAAAGCACAATGTGAATGCACTTGTCCGATTTTGGTCTGGACCAAACAGGCAGAACAAAAGACTTTCATAGTGTGAATATACCCTAATATTACACAGGCCATGCCCATTTAGATTTTCTGCCATCTGTTTGAGACAGTGGATGTAAGATGGGTGAATAATGGTTTGTGTACCATCAACCAGTTATTTGAGGGATCTAATTTAAAACCCTTCTCTCAGCTACAAAACCAGTTTTTGTTGCCTCCAAAAGACTTGTTTTACTTTTTACAGACACTATCTTCCATGCTGAATGGGTTCCAATTAAAGCAAACCTTATGGGAACTGAGCAGTACTTTATAACAGTAATATAAAAACACCTAACGACCAAAAACCACATCTCCCTTCCATCTGAAACCAAAAGTTTACACTACTGTATATAAAAGGACACATGAATGTTTTTCACACTGTCTGACATGAAATCAGAATACTTTACCTGTTTTAGGTCAATTAGGATTACCAAATTTTTCTCTATTTGCTAAATTCCAAAATAATGATGAAACATTTTTAAGGCCTTTTTTAATTACTTTCTTCAAAGTCGTAAGTTTAAATGCACTAGGATTATTATGCCTCTTAAAAATTTGGGACATTTTATGTCTTCTGATAGGTTTATTGACAGTAGAGGCACACCTAAAACAAAAGTGTAAAGATATCAGTTGTGCTGGGCAGCACTAATCTAAAAATAAACATTTAGGTCCCCTAATTCTAAAGCACTAGCACACTTTTGGCATAAGCTAAATAAAGTACTAAAATAACTCAGTCAACCCATGAACATTCTTCAACAGACAAAACGAGTCACATATTACCATGTTGCTCTCTTAAGACTTATCATTGACATTCCACAGCTGTATTTGAGTTCTTATATTGTCAATATGTTGTCACCTGGTGGATAAGTGACACACGTACAAAATGTTTGTACGTGTAGCTTTCACCCTCAGCTGTTAACATTAAAGTTGATCAAAAACATTTATAGACCTTAGTTAGTGCTTCTAAATTTAGTCTATAAATTTATTAAGTGCTAATCCACTAATAATTTTTAAAATTAGCAAAAGCCCTAAAGCACTAATCATGAAATTAGTTCCCCTATTAGTGCTTTAGGGGAACTGTGCTCACCACTGGATATCAGCATATCGGTCTAATCTAATCTAATCTAATCTAATCTAATCTAATCTAATCTAATCTAATCTAATCTAATCTAATCTAAATTACAATATTTTCATTGGTTTGAACACATTATTGGGATTACAGGAATGGCTCTAAAATGGTTTAAATAATATTTATTTGAAAGATTCCAGTTTGTAAATGTATTAATGAACCTTCTTCATACACCAAAGTCAGTCATGGAGTTCCTCAGGGTTTATTGCCTGGAACAGTCCTTTTTACTTTATACGTATTTGCTTCAGGTAGGCAAAGTCATTACACAGCATGGTTAGTCAAGATTAACTTTAGGTCTAACATTGGGGGGGTTATGCTCTCTGTCCATTTATTTATTGAATAAATTACTTTTGTAAAACGATTCAGGATATTTCAGGGTAAAAATATATTGTAATGCATTTACTGTGATTTACTTAACTTTCCAGTTTTCTCTGTATTTATTCTGCTCCTTTTCTGTTCCACATCAGTTCAACAAGTAAGAAAAAAACTTACTATTTTTCTGCATTTTTTTCCAGCARTAACACACATTTTAYATTTTTAAGATTTACTATATAACATAACTTAATTTCACAAATTTCAAAGAGTGTGTATTTACMTGGTTCACTACAGTTTAACTCGGAAATATTACAACACATGATTCAAYAAATACAGCCATAATATGACAAGAGCAGACTAAAACCCTGCATGTCATCTTCAGTAATTATGCTTAAATGTTCATTGTGTAAACTGAAATCATATTAAAGTTACCTAAAAACAACAAGAGAGTTACACCAGATCATTTCAGCTGTGTTAAAGCACTTGCAAGACTATGGCAGTTTCAAATTATTATGGTTTTACTAATGGTAATCACTACCAAAAATGACTTGGATAAAACAGCTGACACGTAAAACGCAGCAGCAGCAGCAGTCTTTGCATTTTCAGCACCACAAATGTGTGAACAGCAGCAATGGGAGAYTGAGTAGTTCAGTTCCTTTCAATGAGGAAATTATTTCACATTAT